TATACGAAAAATTGTTTTTTTCCATATAAAATACATGGAAAACTTTGAGCGCTTTGAGCACTCCCTAAATATTTTTTGATTTCAAAATAAAAAAATAGGGGTATATTTTTTCGATATAGATCAATCCTAGGGTGTGCCGGCATTAAAACTCCGACTTTAATTTTTTGGACCACTCTAATCTACATGTATATGTATGTATGCAAGTCTACTATTCACTAATTATTATAAAATACCAAAAAAAAAAAAATCGTTTTACTGTACATATGTATATAGATTAAATGTTAATTTATTAAAAACTTCATTACAATTAAAAATATATTTCATGTCTAAAAACTTTCTATATTTAAAATCTATTTTATTGATACCCAAATTTAGACACACGCAAGTGCAAGATAAGTAACACCTCCTTTAAGTGGTACATGATTGTAAGAAACCAACTACTACTTTACTCCTCGTATTGGGTTAAAAACCCGGTAGTGGGTGAAGCTTTATGTATTTCGTAAGGCTTTCTGCACATTGGTCGTCCAATCATAGTTGCTTCATCGTCACAATCATGATGCACACTCGGTCGTGATATTTCAATTCATTTGGCTTCTAAAAATTCACTTGGAGCAGGTATTTTCTGTTTTTCTGGTTGATATTTTCGCGAAATATTTACAAAAACCTGCAATTTTTAAAATATAGACTGTGCTGCAACAATACTAGACATAATTTTTCAGTAATATCTCTTCTTTTCTTTTCCTGAAATGTGTGTTTTGTACATGCACACAGAGACTTTTTACAATTTCGTCATATTTTATAGTTAAAATGCTTAAATTTATTGAATTTTAATGTAATTATCCACTTTTTAATAATCTCCACAGATTTAATACAAAAAATACTAATTTTTATGCAATTGTAAGGCAAATATTAACTTTTTCACTAATTTTTCCCCATAAAATGTAAACAAACAATGCGTGCACAACGATTAGCAAACGACATTGTTGTACTTATCCGTTTCTGCATCTTCTACGATTTGCCGATAACTAGCCGATAACGACAAGTGTGCAGATCTCCTTTGAAATGCATGTGCTCGGCTCAAAATTTCAGGGCGAGACGATAACGCAACTATGATTGGACGACAAGTGTGCAGATAGCCTAACTTTGTCAATAGTTGGCCCGAATTTTCTGATTGCAGCCATTTTAGAGAGCTAATATAAATTATATAAATTTTACTGCTTGGATTCGTAATAAGCTACATATGGTCGGTGGTACTGCAGAACTTAATAATAATAGATTAGCGCTTATACGGCTTTCCCAGGGCGGGCACCCCAATAACGTAGTTCCCTCTCTGATTCGTAGTTTGCACTCCAATTACCCTTCGCATTACGTAATTCGCCATACAAAATGTTAAGAGCGGATCACCTCTTTTATTGGTTATTCAGATGCAGTTTCCAATGCGAATTACGAACAAATCGGTGCCGTACCTAATTTTTATCGGAAATTAATCGAACCTAGCTCACAAATCAAAACTTGCATTTTTCTGAATACGAAAAGTTAAGTTTATCAATGTGTATATCCCTAATTTAATACGGAAACTTATAAATTTTTGTAAGTGTTAGTGTTTGGCCGAGCTTCTCCTCCGATTTGTGGCGTACGCGGAGGGACCTACAGTTTTACGCCGACTCCGAACGGCGAATGTATTTGTATGAGAAGCTGTTTTTCATGGCAGAAATACACTCGGAGGTTTGCCATTGCCTGCCGAGGGACGACCGCTGTTAAGAAAAAACCTTTTTTCTATATTTTTTTTTTGCGATGTTGCTTTGACTAGGGCTTGAACCCAGGTGCCGATGAGTGAAAGCGCGCACTGCTTACCACTGCACCACAGCGGCCGTATATATAGATTTCTTAATTAAACGCGGATTTACACAAGAACAATAAGGACATTAAAATACGCAACTCTGATCTGAACACTTCGGTTAATCGTTGGACTTCATCGGGCAGAGTTGAAAGTTTTATCTTTGGTTAATGATTGTAGAGAGAATTACAGATGCCTTCAGATACAGATAGTCGATTATTTGACATAGAACGTTTTGCAGCATCACCATCTTGATTCGGCCAAAACTTGAACTTTTTCGTTTTTAGTTCTCTTTTAGGGGGCGATTTCGAAAATTTTGCCACATCATATATTTTTCTTCATGCAAGAAAGGACCACTCTAATGTAGACAAATGGGTACGTTTTGTATACATATATATGCTCACTGTGCATATGTATGTATATTATTCACTGTACATATCTACATATAATGCTTACGTTCAGGCCAAGCAGTCGATGACCGGTGGTCGCGGGTCTAGCGGTCGTTCATCCTACGTTTGCCAGCGCAACACAACTGCCCCACAGTTGATCGGCGTCGGCGTCGTAACCGATGCACATTGCCGCTGAGGGTCTGCAGCGCGAGCCAGTCGCTTTTGTTCTCAGTTTTAAGTAGTGAGTTGTGCAAGTTTCAGTACCTCGTATTTTCCTTAGTTTTTAATCGCAGTTCGTGAAGAAACATTCGTTGGCTAAGCTTGCCATCCATTCATACCACTTAAATATATATACACAGCGCTTCGTTATTCAGTGACATCGCTGTTTAAACATACTACCATTATACATATATTTATTACGAAAATGACACAAAATACCGGTTACTTAATGCATTTAACTATTTAATTATCTTATAGTGACAAATAATATAGTTAAGATAGTTTATACCAACAAACATACATTTTTATATGAATTCAGATGAATTTACATTCTTGCCTCGGTGAGTCAAACAAAGATGACAGACAGAGGCGCACGGAATGATATAAAAAAAAAAAAAATTAAATACGAGAGTACAAAAGAATTTCTGCATTTGGCAAGAGCGTAGGAGTGTTGACTTTCGAAACTATACTTAGTACCTACAGTCAATCTGGCATTTGAGTTCTCAAATAGTCTGCGCAAAATAACACTTAAAGCTGAATGTTTCGAAAATTACCCTGAACAACATATCAAAAAGTCAAAGAGGTCAAGGTGTTTCGCTAATATTGTTAATTAATGAAAAATTGATGAAGTTTTCGAGGCTAACGCAAAAAAAAGAAAAAAATGCTCAGAACTTATGTTATACGACTCCTAGCAAGACAATAAAAAATATCAGAATATAGAGCAGAAAATTATCCACAATATATGAGAACCAACCGTATATTTGCAATTAATTCTTGGAAGATTTTATATCCAGGATTGTGCGAAAAAGGGGAATTTTTTATTCGAATACAAGGAATGTGTAAAATAAAATTTATTTTATTTATTTTTCGACATGAGTAAGTTAAAATATTGTGAAAACATATTTTTCAGTGAAAATTTTAGAATTCGGGATGACATTTATAACAATTTGTTGAGCCTTAAAAAAATCGTATTTTTGATGTGTTGTTCCGGGTAATTTTCTGAACATTTTGGTATAAGCTTCTTAGCTTCTAAGCTTTTTGGGAAGTACTTATTTTTGTATCAATCGAGTAATGCAATACAAGCCGCCTTAAGACAATTTTCGCTTATCCATGCAATTTTACATTTATTCGATTACCTTCAATGGCATGCACATGTTAAAATAATGCATTATGTAAACGAAAAGGTAAGCGGTTACCCCAAATTGGGGAACCACTTTTCGAGAGTAACCGCTTACCTTTTCGTTTACAGAATGCATTATTTTAACATGAGCATGTCATTGGAGGTAATCGAATAAATGTAAATTTTCTTGCCTTTGCATTACCAGTAATGCCCAAAAAATGAAATGTTTTTGCTGGGTAGGTGGGTTTTGGTTAGTCTGTTGATGTTTTTGTGTTTTTGGGCAAGTGTGTTCGTGTATTTTGAATAAATTGTAATAGAAATGCGGAAAAATGTAATAGAAATTGTAAAAGATAAGAGCAAACGCCAAAAAAAAAACGGGTGATCCCAGCTGTAGGCATTTTTTGACAATCATCTGATAGTGTTTTTACTCAAGCCTACTATACAGTTCAATACGAGCGTGGGGTGAACTTTTTATTTTGACCAATATCTTCGTTATTACGATACATCGAAGCAAAACATCGATATTTTCGATGCATCGATGTTTTTCCGACATCCCCACTTTGGTTGAAATTCACGCAGGAGTGACAGAATGCGCCCGTATGTTCGGCATTTTTTTTTTATTTGATTGCTACCTGTGTTTTCGTGATATGCTATAAGTTTTCAATGCAGTGCAGGTCTGAGCTGCTATCTGACCAGTATATTTAAGGTCAAATTATTTATTATTATTCATGAATGCCTCGCCCTCTTGTGATTCACACCCTGGTGACAAAATCAAAGCTTTTTTAAAAGTATTTCTTCTGTAAAATTATCGTGGAAAACTAAGTTTTGTATATTTTTATAATTGGGAGAAATTTATTTGAAGGGAAACAATCGCCAATGGCGATTTCCTAAATTTTTACGCGCAAATATAAAAAAAAAAACAAAAAAAACGCCAAATTGGTGCGAAATCGCCAAATCTGGACACTCTGTGTAAAACCACCGGGAGCGTGATGAATATAGAGAGATACATTATCATAAATTGTACAGGGTTTAATTGAACAAAATTTTACGTCCATGCGGATCTCTGTGAAATTGATTCTTAGCTTTGCCAAACCATAGTACATTTGTGGCCAGGAGAGCAGAAGTGGCCTATCCCAGAATTGGGTAGTTAACTTTTTAAAATAGTTTCTAATGTTAAACAATTTTAAAATAAAGGTCACTTATTCCTTTAATTTAACTATTTACAGTTATTTTTGTGAGGACGTTAACAGTAAAAAGTAAAAAATTTAAGTCTCGCTACGAATATTTGCCCACTTTTTTTCTGCCGATTTCAAAATAAATTTATCCGTAACTAGAGTTTAAAATAGTTTTTCTTATTTGGGGCGGTTGCTATGGTTCGCCATTTTTTTATTAGGGCTCCATATTTATATTTACCTAATTATTTTTTGCTTCTTAGTATTGCAGAGGAGAAGAAAAAGCTTGGCAATGACCAGTACAAAGCACAGAATTACCAGGCTGCACTTAAGCTCTACTCCGATGCCATTCAATTGTGTCCCGACTTCGCTGCTTACTATGGCAACCGCTCTGCCTGCTACATGATGCTTTCTAACTATATCAATGCATTGAACGACGCCCGTCAGGCTGTGCGATTAGATCCAAAATTCGAGAAGGCATACGTACGCATCGCCAAATGCTGCTTGCTAATGGGTGATATGGTCGGTTGCGAACAGGCTATCAAAAAAGTGTTGGACTTGGACTCGCAAAGTAATGCTGTTAAATCGGAGCAACAGGGATTGCAGCAATTGCGTCAGCTGGAGAAGACGATACAAACAAATTACGATTCCAAGGCTTTTCGCAATGTTGTCTATTACTTGGACAGTGCATTGGCAATAGCACCTGCCTGCATTAGGTGACATCGTATTATTAATTTAAATATTTTTGTAAAAATATAACCGATCAAATTTCATTACACAGATATCGTTTGCTCAAAGCCGAATGCCTCGCTTTTCTCGGTCGGTGTGATGAGGCCGTTGATATTGCCGTAAGCGTTATGAAGCTGGACACCACTTCGGCTGATGCTATATATGTTCGTGGTTTGTGTCTTTACTACACTGATAATCTTGAAAAAGGCATATTGCATTTTGAACGCGCACTCCAACTTGATCCCGATCATAAAAAAGCCAAAGAGATGCGAAACAAAAGTAAAGCTCTCAAAGAGATGAAGGAAAATGGCAACACCCTCTTTAAGTCTGGTCGTTTTCGTGAAGCACAAACTGTATACACAGATGCACTAAAGATAGATGAGCTGAACAAGGACATAAATTCGAAACTTTTATACAATCGTGCATTGGTAAACTCGAAAATCGGTGCATTGCGTGATGCTATCGCTGATTGCACAAGAGTTTTGGATATCAATTCACAATATCTGAAAGCTTTGCTTTTACGTGCGCGCTGCTATAATGACCTAGAGAAATTCGAAGAGTGCGTGAATGACTACGAAACTGCTTTGCAGTTTCAAAAAACTCCCGAAATCAAGAAACTATTGCGCGATGCAAAACTGGCACTGAAGAAGTCGAAGCGTAAAGATTACTACAAGATCCTTGGTATTTCTCGCAGCGCAACCGAAGACGAAATAAAGAAGGCATACCGAAAGAAGGCATTAGTGCACCATCCGGACCGGCATGCCAATAGTAGTGCTGAAGAACGCAAAGAAGAGGAACTGAAATTCAAAGAAATTGGGGAGGCCTATGCGATTTTGTCAGATCAACGGAAAAAAATGCGTTATGATAGCGGTCAAGATATAGAGGATCAAGAGCAAGGTAAGTATAAGAAACAAGAGCCAGCGAATACAAGCAAAGACTTATTTCAAGTCCATAACAATTAGTTAAAATAGCTCATTAAATAGTAGATAAAAATTTCAAGAGTGAATTTACCGCTAATTTGAAATTAAAATGTGTAAAAGTCGTGTTAACCTCAAGGAACTAAATAAATTTATATGCAAACTCACAAAAATACACAAGATCATTTTAAGCTAAAACATCAAAATACTTTAAGTTATCAAGCGGTTTAATTTTCACTTTCACCCGCAGTCATACTAACGAACATTATGCAAGTTTCATATAATCCAGACTAGGGAGACATTGGTTGCAAAGAAGCACTTTTGCACGTATGAATCGAAGCGACGGAAAAACTAATACCCACTAAATGTTTTTATTGAAGTGAAATTTCTTAAGCTAGGTCGGAGATGTTGCCGTTAAATGTTTTATACCACGGTGATGGTGGTTGTTGTTGTTGTTGTTGTTGTAACAGCACACGAAAAAAGAAAACGAAAGTCTGTATTCAAAGCCTCCTTGGGCTAGGCGGTTAGAGACAAAGACAAGGATGTACACAGAAACAAAGATAATGATAAATATAGGGATAACGACAGACATAAAGACAAACGCGAAGGCGTAGTCAAAGGCAATCACAAATAAAACACAAATATAAAAATATGTATGACAAAAATTAGGATTGAGTTCAAGGAGTAAATGAAGGCTAAGATGAACATGAAGATGAACTTTAAAATAAGAGATGGAGGTGAAAATTAGATATTAAGGTGGAGATGAAGATGGAGGATAAAGATACAGATAAAGACAAAGACAGATAAAGATATAGATTAAGAAATGACATAGACATAGGTAAAGATAAGGATAAAGATTAGCAAATTGTTATAAACAAGGGGATTAAAAATAAAGCTCGCGCAAAAATTGCGCAACCAAAAATATAATAGAATATTTATTGCAAACTTCTTTGCTGGAATTTTTTCCTATGAAAGTTCACTTCTTCCGAGCATAGGGACTACTCGCACGACCGTTCCCACTACAGTCGGGTCTACGTAACCGGAACGACCCAGATTTATATCTGGCCAAGGACTTTTACTCCAGCAACACTTCCCAAAAACTCTTTGAGGAATTTGTATCTGTTGCAACAACAACAGCACGCACTCAGTTTTTCTTAAAAATTTATTGGCCAATCATTCCCTCCTTACCTGGCGTTCTGCACGTAAAACTAAATGTTTTTTTTTTTTTTTTTACAGATTTGGATCCAAATCAAATGTTCCGGCATTTCTTCCAATTTAGCAGTGGAACAGGACCCGGGGCATCATTCGGATTTGAATTTTAAATTTTGCATGGACACCTCATCACAACCACAATCTTTTTCGTAGGATATTTGTCAACAAAGCAAGCGGCGGAGATATATTTGTGCAAAAGTTAAAAATGAAACCAAAACCAAATTGTTACCGTTGCTTGTCGCAAATTCGAAGGAAATTTAAAACAAAAATAAAATTACCAACGTTTTATGTATTTTTATTTAAATATATATTGAGTATTACAAGGGTTTTGCAATAGCGGTTATCGAGAGAGCGAACCGAATTAAATTCTAGTTCATTGTAGAATTCCAGCTATTATAACTAAGCACAATTCATATTCCGATGGAAACAAGAGTTATAGAAAATTTTTGTAACAAAAATTGTGGACGGTAAATTAAAAGCAGTAATACTGGATACTTAACAACCAAAATACAGTAAAGCATTTTTGATGCCCAATTTAAACATATACAATTTCAATTTATGTATGTGAATGTCTACTTGTTTATAATGTCAATAAAAGAGTACATCGATGGACTTCAATGGGAATGTGGGTATACTCTGTGTATGATGGTGGTGGTCGGGTATTTTTACCTCCCAACGTTAATGAACAGACTGTTACAATTGTAAATTCAAATTTAATTTAGTTTTTAATTTGTATTATATAATATTATACATTCAAACAAGAGTTTTTATAATCTTACTAGACTTATTCCGCGACTTTGCCCGCTGCAAACGTTGAGCCAAATTTTAACAGTAAAGCCAAGATCAAATTTCACAAGAAAGTTAGCTTGCACATTTTGCTGAGTATATTCATCTGGGCCGGATTATAGCATGGGCCGTCAGGCATGCGGTTCAGGGATTCCACATTAATTTTACTCATTTTGATTCATTTTGTCCTGGATACGACATGAAACTCGGCAACATGAGACAAGGGCACGCAATTTATTTGCCATCGCCTATATGCGAAGAACGCATACCTTTGATGGAACAACGCATACCTTTGATGGAACAACGGTTCAGCGTACATTCCATACTGTGCACATTTACTGAATTTGATCGCAAAGCACCCGCCTCAAGGCGATTGATTTTTATTTTTACTTTTTAGAAGAGCGTTTGTATTTTTTTACGTCTTCGACAATGCAATATGAAATTTTGATTACTAAAGTGTCAGCCTTGGAAACATTTAGTCCCAAAAATGTATGGCATATCCGTCAAGTCCCGCTGATGCTACAAAAGCTTAATTTTAACATTTTCAGGTATCTTAAACTTTTAAAATCAAAGAATCGTTAATTTCAAAAATAAGAAAATATCTGCGACATATCCTGCATGCTGCCATCTTTTTTAATTTGGTGGCACACTCTTGAAACTTCACAGATATTTTGCGTTGATGCCAACTTTCATAACCTCTAATTTTAAAACTTCCCGAAATTAAAACAAAAAAAAAAAAACAATTATTATTTTTTCGGGTTGCAATAAAAAATTAGTATTAAGCTCTACTCAGAATTACAGCGGACGACGGTAAAGCGGTCGGCTGTTCACTTACCGCAGTGAAATCGGTCAGAGTAAACACAATTGCGGCTGATGACGGCTTCCGTTAACTGTCATTTTGATTTGGGAATTTTCATTAAAATATTTTTATTTGTTTGGTACGTGCGTGTGTGTATATTTGCTGGAAATAAATTGTCTGTTCCAATAGCCGTCCGGTTTAAAGGATTTAGTCAGAACTTACAGGAAGTCGTTCCTATTGACATAAAACCTGTAAGTGGGAACACTTTTGATAGAGTAACTGAGCAAGTGTTTCTAGTCGGAAGTTACAGGATTTAGTCCGCAGTTTTTTTTTCCTGTAAGGTCATGAAAAGTGTCAAACGATCAGCTGATTTCCACGTGGAAACAAAAACCGAAAGCGGTGAAAGCAAAGAACCTCATATTTGTAAAAAAAAATGGAGGTAAACATCGAACTGTTTGAATATGCATAGATTTTAATAATTTTTTAGTGATATTTCAGCCAACTCAGGGGCTCTATTCTGTAACTGAGTTTTCAAGTGTACACTGAAAATTGTAATTGCGATTCAGGAAGAGTGAGAATGAGTTTTAACTGCCAAAATTGTGTACAATTCTCTTCCGAAAAACTCACTGAATTTTAGTCGGTGAGTTTTTGGTTGTGAGTTTTGCACTCGGTGTACACTACATTTTCTCAGTTACAGAATAGAGCCCCAGTGTTGTACCAATGACATGTAAACAAACCGACTGACGTTTTTACAGGAAATAGTGCTTTTTGCGTTCTGTTCTTTCACTCCCACTTGAGAGAGTAAAATTGTAGTTTGACATTTCCACAGGTTTTAGTCCGAAGTTCAAAGGAACGGACTAAGTAATGATTAAAAGCATTTGCAAACTTGTGAAAATAATAGAAATTATTACCATCAACAATGTGCCGCCCTCGCTGGGCGGTAAAAATGTTGCTACCACAATTATGTGCCATTCCATATGTCTTCGTGAGTTTTGATTTTGACAGCGGTTAACCGTCGACTGCTGCAATTCTGGATAGAGAAGAGAATTCTTGAAAATCAATATTTTTCTATCGGAAAACTCTGGTTCTCTTCAGGATACTTTCAATAATAATACCCAATTGTTTATTTAACCATTTTTTAATACTAACGATTTTTTATTGGTAGTCCCACTGCATTTTTCGGGGTTTTTGTGGGTTTTTGGTTAAATAACCAATTGGTTATTATTATTGGGAGTCTCCTGGAATCTAATGATTTTTAACTATTCTATAGCATTTCCCCATATAAAATATATGGACAACTTTGTGCGCTTTAAGCCACCTCTAAATATTTTTTGATTTCAAAATAAAAAAATAAAGGTATATAGAAAATTCGATACTCAACAAAAATTTCGACATGGTTGCATAGCTCATAATACGAATTTCACTTTCGATCTTCGATAACCAGGGCCAATGTAAATTGAAAATGCAAGTAAATGATTTCAAACGACTTTACAACAACTTTAAAGTTCGTATTCAGATGGCGAAAAAAGTTAGTTATGAGTTAGTTTTTCTTTCAAATATGGGAAATATGACACATATTTAACGAGTGGTGTCCTTTGCTACGTACCACAAAGTTAGCTCCAAATAAAACAATATGCAATTCTCGACACGAATAGACCGTAGGTACACATTTATTATTTTCCTTTAGATTTTTGTATTTAAACTTTGTTTTTGGTTTTACAATTCTTGCCAGTAATTATTTTTCTAAAAATCTTTCTAACTAGTACGTACGTATCAAAATAAAACTTAAAAACTCTTACATCTAAGTCCAGTTAAACAAGGTACAATATAACATTTTATCTTTTATATTTTGTGGTTGCTTTTATGTCTTATACTCATATGTTTTGTTTTTGTGGTTCCTGTAGGTTTGTTCAAAGGAATGTCCTCCTTGCGTAGGTGCATATTTCCTAAGGAACGAGTTTTACGTTATTTTTATAAAATTTTATACCGGATTTATCGTTGGATTTCGTAGACATTTATAAATTCCAATCACCTTAGCGACAACGTATGTATGTACTTACATATATACTGTAATTTCTTACGATGGTCATTCAAGCATAGAGTACCCACCATGCAAAACATGAGAAATAGGCAACAATCGTCAATGGCAACAAATTGGCGACTCACCGATTTATTGCTGTGGTGACAAATCGACAACATCACTTCATTCATGTCAATTTTGAATAAAAAAGTTCTCAAAAATTCCGAAACTTATGAATATGGCGTCAATAGTATTGGCCAAAAGCATCTAAATTATGCCCAAGGACAAGATTGATAAAATAGGAAGCCTCACAGCGAGAAAATGAATTAATTCCGATTATAAGTTGCAATTTGGTATACAGAAAAATAAATGAAGTATTAAAAAGAATAAAATTATTCCAAATATCGCCTGAAGCGATAAGAAAAAGACTCATTCAGGCAATAAGAAAACGACTCGCCCAGGCGAGTTGCCTTCGGCGGACGTTTTAGAGCGACCGGTAATAGGAAATCGATTCGATGGCAATATTACCGGCAATAAATTTGTTTCCGAGGGCGACACGTTTTCTTATTGCCGGCAACACAAATTGTTTGGTGGGATACTTACGTATAATGTATGTATGTATATGTACATATGTATGTATATGATAAAACGCATAATTTATAACTAGGGAAGACAAAAATGCACAAAAAACTTAATTATATTGATCATTAAAATGACTCCCGAAATATTAAAAATATGCTTGATATATGCCCCAAAAATGTATATGTATAACGAAATTTTTTTTTTGATTAACACATACAAAATGTATTCAACAAAATGTGATTGAATTTGACATTGCTCTCAGAAGAACCGTCCAATAAAGTCAAATTGGGAAATTTTTTATGAATTTTGAATCGGTTGTTTATATTTTTTTGGCATAATAGTACCTTAAAAGAGAGCCGACCAGAGTTGTCAGTCACACCTTGTTTAATACACCTTTCTTACATATACATATGTATTGAAAATGTACGCTCTACGTCACAATACTTTGTTGGACAGAATCAGCGTTGCCATTTTAGCCGTTTTCCGGCTAGATTTAGCCGGTTTTGATAGCAACTAGCCGGAGAAAATTCGATCTAGCCGGCAGCCGATTTGTTAGCCGGTTTGTAAAAAAAAGTTAGCCGTTTTTAGCCGATTTTACTATTTGCCTAATTTTCAGGTGCAAAAAGTAATCAAGTTGTTCGAAAGCAATAATGCAGACCCAATGAAGATTTTTAATGAACTCAATGTTTTACTTTTGCATCTATGCTCCCTAGTGGTTATTAGCGCGGACACATTTGATCCTATATGCTCCCCGTTGGAACCATACCTTGCTCCTTTTCTTCAGTTTTATCACAGTTTTGAAGAGTATTTAAAAACAAAAGTAAGCACAAACGCTTTTGACCACGAAGTCGAGAAAATAGTTCGAGAAAATGGTCGCTATTTTATTATCACTTTAATAAAGGAATTACGCCAACGCCTCCCTACAAATATTGCCACACTAAAAAAATTGACTTTTTTCGGTTGGAAATGCATTAAGAGTAATTAAGCCAAAAGTATTTGTTCAACTACAGCAACAAAAACAAAAATATAACGCCGACGATATAACATCCATAGAGATGCAATGGCAACGGTTAACGTTACATACCTGGAGTAATTTAGACTCAACTGTAAAATTTTGGGCCGAAGTTTATCAATTTCGAAATGCCCTAGGTGAAAACCCTTTTGCTGACCTTTGCAACCTAGTTTTTAGTTTTCTTGTTTTGCCTATAAGTAATGCAGAAGTAGAGCGAATATTTAGTTCAATGAATATAATAAAAACCAAGCAAAGAAATCCAATGTGCGTTTAAACGTTAAACGCTATTTTATATATAAGATACGGTTTAAAACGTGAAGAAAAATGCTGCCATAATTTTACTGTAGATGACGATCTCTTAAAATTAATGAATTCAGGTGATATATACAATAGTGATTCATTTGATGATGAGGAATATA